GTGCCGCAAGGTGCTCATACCGTCATTAGATCTCCAAATATTAGCCTTAAAGCCTCAAAAGACGCCATTGTAGACTTTTTATGTATTCTACTTAATTTTTTCGTCTGTCTGTGACAAACAGGTGTAACTGATAGGGATTTTTTAGTTATATTGATATTTAAATATTTTTTGTGATATAAAATGAAAGCTACCTACGTTATACATATATATACCATGCTAACTGGGTAACCAGAGGTTGTTCTACCCTTTCCGAATTATTAAAAATATTTAGGATAACTTATCGTAATAAAAACTATCCTATCTCTCAATTTGGAGCAAGCAATAAAGATTTACAAAATTTCATTAAAATCGGTTGAGTGGTTTCGGAGATTAGCGTGAACGAGCACATAGTCCTCCTGCTGGAAATTGGATGCTGTGCTCCATAACCATCTACATCTAATATGCAAATGCGTTGTCATCCCTGAGAAATAAGATGGAATGCCTCGTTTCTAGTGGAAAGGATTTCCAATTCTCTAAACATAGCATACTAAACATAGCAGCATTAAGCTGCTACTTTACGCTGGTATTACACATGATGGTACACTTTTTTTATAGAATAAGGTTGAGTGAATGCTGTGTTACATAAAAATCTACATTTATCCTCGATTAAGAATCAAAATGCAGATACGTTGTCACTCCTGAGGACTAAGATGGAATGCCTCGTTTCTAGTAATAAAGGGTCTCTGGATCTCTACACTCACCATACGAAACACAGCAGTATTAAGCTGCTATTTTACGTTGATATTCTGTAAGGAGGGCCCTCCCCGGTCGAGCCGACCCATTCGTGCTACAACCATAATGTAACTGCAGCGTGACTCTACCACGTCCGATACATAGTGACGATACATACACCGTACATAGTATTATATTAAGATTACATAAATAGCCAAATAATGAAGGCCGTAAACCTTTTATAAAGTTAATTTTTAAATTTGACAAAGCAAACTGTTAGTCTTACGATACCTAATGTCCGGGTAAGTATCCGGGTCAGCTCTACGAGTATAAAGCAACTTCACGCCAGTTACGCCTCCGGAGCAAGCAAACGCCCGTCCTAGTTCGGTCGACACTCGCGTTGATGCCCCTCGCGGATATTTCAGGCCGAATCATCTCAACACCGTGAAGAGAGCGCGTTATTGTAGCCTTACGCTACGTGATCGGTAAATTCATTGTAATAATATCACTATTTCGTTTTGGCTTGTTTATTGTACACCAATACACATTAAAACGAAAACATGAAATATATATATAGAAGGTACAATAAACGGTATTATCGTTCTGGAAGCGATTTATTCCAACCTTTTTGCGCAAAGAACTGTTTCTGACAATGAATGGCGAATAGGGAGGGTATACATAATTTAGACAATTAAGTGAATAAAAAACAGAAGATGACGGTAAATGGTAGTCGAGGATACATACAATCTTATTCTTATAATTGATCTTATTTACTTAAATCTTGTTTTTATAGAAAAAGGGGTAAAAACGAGCACACAGTCCACCTGATGGTAAGTGGGTGCTGCAGCTTTCATCTACATCTATCCTTGATTAAGAATCAAAATACAGATGCGTTGTCTTTGTCTTACGGGTGTAAGGACTAAGATGTAATGCCTCGTTTCCAGTAAAAAGGGGTCTCACCATACGAAACACAGCAGAATTAAGCTTTACGGATATTCTGTGAGAGCGTGGTCCTTCCCTGGTCGACCCAAGCCGTTCTTTCTACAACCATGATATAGCTGCAGCGTGACACTACCACGTATAGATTTATTTAATTACTTATTTTTAGTCGCTCTCAATCATTTTCGTTACAAAAATATAAAATGTGCAGACATCAGCGTTTTAATTTTTATTACATGTACAGATGAACTTCTATTCCTTATTCCGTTTAAATTTAAGCAAAGACAATATCATGACTACATTCAAAGACACGTACAGGCACAAAATAATACACACCTAAAAATCGATCCGTCCCAAAATTGGTTTTATCACATCAAACTTCCCACGTTCGTTCAACAATGCTTATTTCGCCTAAACAAATAGAACGGGCATGATCTTATGACGCCGTACCAAATACTTAACGGTTTATAAATTAGTGGGGTCCGTAGCGGCCGACACCCCGGTGGGCTATCGCATACCACCGCACAAAATGCCTTTGTATTTTAACTTATTATTGAATTTACACCTCTGCGACAACTTTGCGATTCGGACATCAGGCCCCCAAATTGTAAGAAAACCGCTTTTGTATCGACAATCGGAAACTCTCAATATCCGGTTTAAAAAGATTTTTTGTTAGGACACTTTTCAAAATGAGTGGATATACCAAAATATCTAAAGATATTAAAAAAAATTGTAAAATAGCATTTAGTTGTTGATTGGTTAAGAAACTAAATAATACTGATTACCACAAGCTTTTCAAGTTTCCTTTATGTGCATTATCATCATATTTTTGACTTTAGTGTCCTTCAAGTTCACATCATAACGATGATCGAAGTCAATTAGGTAACATCGTAGTGAATAATGTCCTCCAGACCTAATTTCGGTCGCGGCGGTCAGCCTTAAAGGAGATTAGACATCTGCGCAGGACAAGATTACAGTGTACAAGTGTATTCATACACACAGGTGTACTCTCTATTCTCTCACTCTCGTAGATCAATGGGACAGCAAACCAACACAACCGGATAGAGATCAGGCGATGAACCAACGGCTTTTTACGAATTTTACGAGGCTGGGGGTAATGAAACACCGCCAACTTCCTGATTCAGGCCTACTACAGAAGATTTCTTGACAATTTTCTGTCAAAATCCTCAGTAGTACCTAATAACTTATTTTCTTATGTCTGATCCGGGATTCGAACCGGGACCTTATAATCAGCAGTCACGATTACGGTCACTGGACAAAATAGATATTCGATCGTAGTCAATAACACTATTTTAAATATCATCGACTAACTCTGGAAGTTAATAAGGAGAAACTCCGACGGAAACAATCTCAAACCGAACGTAGCATGACTGAATTTATAATATCATCCAATTAACGTAAACGTTGCGATTATTTGCAACTGTGATTCCATTGTTGCATCAACTTACAGGCTGACATAATTACGCATAATACTGCGTCGGGCTATTCTGATGTATCGCCAGTAATTCATGTCTCATTTCACATTTATAACGCCCAAGTCCTGACAAACAACCATGATTGATGTGCGTCGGTGGGTACAAAAGCTCCATTGACAGCGTTCACTACCTTTGCGCCCAATTATCCCTTCACGTATCCCTAAAAGCAAACATTTGTCCACTCGGATTGGACACTTTAAAAAAAATTACCGCTTTTTATAGACAAGCTCATAATGTGAAAATTTACGAGTTTATGGTATTAGTGACAAAATTTAAACGTACTGTAATATGTATGTGTTATTTAATTTGACTATTTTACTATGGATATGTGGTGGGTAGGTACACTATGGTATAGAATGGGCCTAGGCCAAACGGTAGTAATTGAACTGTCTGTGTATATATGTACATAAATGCGTATATAATATGAAATTTGAAACAAATTTTAGACAAAGTTTAATATATATTACAGTACAAAGATAATACAAACTAAAATAGAATAACTTTCATGCACATAATATGATTTTGCAAATACTTCATTTACAACATAACATATAACTTTATATTGGATTACATCACGTCGAAAACTCTTCAATCTTTCATCCAAATAATGTTTAATGCACTTTATAAAACCATTTATCAAAACTGTGAACAGTTTAGCTTGCTGCGGTGCTAACTATCTAAGCAGCATAAGGCTAGATGGGACATCATGGCACAAGCCCAGGTGTTTAGCACAGCTTTGCTGATGTAACTCACAACAGTAAGCTCTGGTGAACCGATGGCCGCAGTACTGGCATTTGAAAAGATTTGGATGGCGGCGACTCTGTGATTCAAGGACATGCCGACAGACACAACAGTCTCTAAAAAATAAAATCAGTTAGAAATGGACTCAGTTTTTTTAAATGTCAATGCACTTACATTATGTTTATAAAACTGACACGAACGTTCAGTTCACCTGATAGTGAGTGGCTACTGAAGTCTATGAACACTTGGAGCCAACTTAATACAATGAAGGCTACATAAAATGCATTGTCACCCCTGAGGACTAAGATGGAATTACTCACAGCCTATAATTACACACTTGTAGCATTAGAGAATACATATAACACATCGTAAATGTTAGAATTATTAACATTTAAAACAAAATTCATTTTGTAGAACATACTAGTAACTGTTTCTATTAATATATTAGCACGCAAATTGCTCAGCCAAAACAAGAAAAGATTAAAGGTATTTTTGTCGCTATAAGCCTCTGATTTAATCGTGATAATCAATCAGAACTCAGTAAAAGTTAATTGGAACAGCGACCCACATATATACATCCCAATGGTATACATGTTATCCCACTTCAGGAAGTTTTGAATCAGGAAAGAGTCGACAACGCTACCCTAATGCGTGTCAGCGAAGTTTCATTTATTAATTCTACACAACCTATCAAATTCCTCATAGAGAAGATGTTTTTCATAGTTGCCACGCTTGGCAGGAGGGCTGGTAAGCGAGATATTATTATTATTTTAAGTTGTTATCAGAAAGATGTTGCAGTCTATCGTCTGTTTCTTTCATCTCTGTCGCCTTTTACGACACTCACGGAATCACATGATGCTTTTTTTCCGCCAAGTTCGCGGTAGACACAAATTAGCAATGAATTACGCTGGTACAGTAACAACCAAAATATAAAAAAACCTTTTTTATGGTGACTAAGCTTCTCATGACTGACAACAACAAGATATTGATAGTAATATCCTTAGATTATATATACTGTCATATAAACAGAAACCATAAGAAATCACAACAATGTCATGGCATCGATCTGGAGAACATTATTCACAGTTTATTTAAGAATGTGTTATTTCATTGTCAGTCATACCTTGTAACGCTCAATTCATGTCCTTTTATATGGGCATTAAGCTGTGATGCTTTATCAAAAGCTGCCCCGCAAATTTTGCAAACATATTCAAGCTCAACTCTTTCATTTGAAGTTGGAAGAGTTGGAAGTTGTAGAAGGGGTAAATAAGAAAAATAATCAATGGCTGGCACGTAAGACAAAAGCTGCCTTATGGTTTCGGTCGATACTCTTAACAAACCAAGAACACTAAGAGGATCCGTATTCGCAGCTTTACTTCTCTTTTCTACCTTTTGCAAACGTAAAGCTGATGATTTTTTTTCTGTAATAACAACTTTACTAGCTTTTACCCCCGTGTGAAGAAAAGAAGTCATTTCTGTTGATTTTTCTTGTCTTGTGTTTTGTATGCCTGACCTTGAATTATTTTGTGATATAATTCCTTTGTTTCTTACATTAATTTCTTTTTCACTTACGTTATTATTATTTGTTGACGGTTTTTTTAAATTGAGTATTTCATTATGGGTTTGTATATGGGTAGGAACACTATGGTATGGTATGGGACTATGCCAAACGGTAGTAATTGAATTGTTATTGTATATATCTTTATTTCGCTTCTTTAAAAGATTACATGTTTCACTTTTTATTTCGTTTATTTTATCTTTTGAAACCTGTGTAAGTTTATTTGGTAAGGGAATATAATCCTCTTTTTTACTTATATTTCTTGTTTTTATTTCTCCAATAAATAAATTTATAGACTTAATCAAATTGTCAATTTTGTTTTCAATATTTACAAGATTATTTGGTTTTTCAAATTCTAAATCATGTTTGCTTTTTTGTGTAAACGTTTCTTGCCTTATTATATCGCCTTCATTTTTTTGCAGTAGTAAATTATTTTCGGTTTGTGAAGCTAAATTGTTTCTGATATTATAAAATACATTTATTTTACTTGGCGCATTGATTGGTTGACATTTTGCAACATTATTTTGTATCTCATTTATTTTAGCAACCGAATTTACAGGTTTACAAATTTGCTTAACGTTTGCATTTTCTCTTTCTCTCATAGTCACACGTCCAAGGGACGATGTAGGGTAGGATGTTAAGTTACATTCATAAAAATTACGTTTTTGTAGTATTCTTTTCTTTCTTTCATTATTTTTTTCACATGAAACCTTGTACACGGACATTGGTATATTATTATGATTTTTATTATCAAACATGTTGTAGCATCCATGTTTCTTTCGTAATAAAGTAATAAACTTTTTCCAGTCACTCTTTTGTTTCTGTTTGTGTATTTCTTGCAGTAATTTACACAAAGCCTGATATAAATTCGCGTTATTTTTTAAACTATTAGATTCAAATGGGTCGTCATCAAAACTAACAATCGGTCTGCAATATGTACTTTTATTAGACCGTTTTTCCTTGTCAGTATAGTAAATAGATTTTTTTTGAGAAGGTAACTGATCAGAACCTAAATAAATGTTTGAATTATCTACATATCTACCTCGATTATCAAACTTATCTTCAATTATCCTTTTTATCTGTAATAAATTTAATGCATTTGTTTTTGTCATCGAGAAAAATTGTGAATCACAGTCTCCTAATTCTTTCAAAAGTTCATTGTAATGTAGTTTTGTAAGGTCTTCAGTTTCAATACAATTATTCATAATTTATTCAAGACTATATTTTGTACAATTAACGACGTCGCAACAATTTTTATCTACAAGAAGACTTTTTAATCCATTACCTGTGAAATTACCATAAAATGAATCAAAAAACTTTTTACGATAAATTTCGGCCGTAGGACGTAGAGGTAATTTTTATCAATAGATCTTTTTTTATAACGTGTTACAGTTTTTACATTACAGTTTTTACTCTTATTTCTTATTTCATTGCACAAAGAATTTTAAAAAATGTGAGCGTTTACTTCTTGACACTTGACACTTTTGTTTACTTGACAAATACGGTCACAGATAAAACGTAGTGATTATGTACTCTTTGATTACAGATACAGTAATTTGCATTTTATATTTGCGGGTAAACAATTTACATAGTGTTTACATCGTAACATTTTTGTTGCGGGTTGATCATGTTATCAATGTTAAAAAAATGCTTGGCCAACAACGTTATGATTTTGAAGTCGTATAATATAATACAGACGTTTACACTTAATGCATCGATTCGCGAAAGAATGTTATTACGAGTTATTATGGAGTTGAGGACTTCACGTAGTAGTAGTTTGTACAGATGTGTGTGTGTGTGTGTGTGTGTGTGTGTGTGTGTGTGTGTGTGTGTGTGTGTGCGTGTGTGTGTGTGTGTGTGTGTGTGTGTGTGTGTGTGTGTGCGTGTGCGTGTGCGCGTGCGCGTGCGCGTGCGCGTGCGCGTGCTTGTGCGTGTGCGTGTGCGTGTGCGTGTGCGTGTGCGTGTGCGTGTGCGTGTGCGTGTGCGTGTGCGTGTGCGTGCGCGTGCGCGTGCGCGTGCGCGCGTGTGTGTGTATGCAAACGTGCGTGCGCGTGCGCGTGCGCTTGCGCGTGCGTGTGCGTGTGTGAATTTCTTTGATCAAAAGACAGAAATATCTTGAGTCTTCCGAAGAATAAGAATATATTTAATGCCAATCTGCCTGCCAAGCGTTACGATTAAGACACAATTATTCTCCCTAAAGCGGAAATGGCCTCAGCATTTCCAGCAGTGGAGTGAAGAAGAAGGACATCTACTATTATACTATCAGTACAGTGCTAACTGCAGTGTAAACTACTAACGCCATAGCTAATCTAATATCAACGTTCTCTTTGTTTTTTTTTTGGACTACAAAGCGTACTGTATTATTTTTAATCACAGCTTAAAGGTTTTACAAAGCATAACTTCTGGAGAGCGGAACCTTAATATATTGCAAAACAGACCACCCAAATCCCCCGATATAAATTCTTTAACTGCAATCTCGCAACGCAAATGGAATGATGCGTATTGAAATTGGTGTAATCAAAACCGGAATATGTTTACAAATTATTGAAAATTTTTGATACTCTTTTTCCACTAAATTATAACATTTAAATATAGTTATAATTTAGTGGAAAAAGACGAAACATTTTTTTTTCATGTTCTTAAACAATCTGTAAAGGTTCATTGCCTGTCATGGGCCATGACAGGCAATGAACCTTCTTCCGTCCTCCTTACAACGAGAGGTCCATGACTCATGGGCCTCTCGTTGTAAAGATGATTAGGTTTAATTGGCATACTTGGCAGGAAGATTTACGATCGCGGTTACAAACATCTTGCACATGTGACGATTATTTGGTTATCCTATTTTACATCGGAAACCGGATGATCATTCTGACTTTTTATAACCACCGCTTATAGAACAAATTGATGGATCCTCCTACTACTCCACGGTTAGATTGGTGATCATTGATGAAAAAATGCCATTGAAATAAATTTAAATAAATATCCTCTTGTCAATACAGTCTTTATAATGTGTTTTTCTTGTTCTCGAGTGTAACAAACGTAATTAACTTCAACAATAACATTATTTTTATTGTGTATTCCATACGTATATTGACCGCAGGCTATGTTGATTGTTAACCTTAATAAGGACAACGCTTTCGCAACTTTGTAACTTTATAAAAGATATAAGACCAAAGATACATATTTATTTATTTATTTAAACTTTGTTGTACAAAAAATGTACAAAGGCGGACTGAAGGCCGGAAGGCGTTCGCTAGCAGTCAACCTTTATGTAACTAGAGAACACTACTTTAGAGCTGAAATATGACTTGTATACGAAACAATTAAGGATCAACACAATATTTATATGAAAATTAACTAAGTATATATATATTACTTATAAAATTATAAATTCATAAACACATACACACAAGCATACTTTTACATAAAATAAATTAATAAATTATACCATCTGCTTATTTAAATTATTAGAATATATAATTTAAAGTTAATGTTTACGAGTAGCTCCGTTTAAAGCGTGTTTTGATCGCCTAGCTTAGTCTAAAGAGTGTTTAACGATAATTTTATCAAGCTTTCGAATAAGTTGTACATACTAGTAGAAAACAGTTGTTATTTTTCTCTGCATTCTAAGATTAATTTATTCATTCTTCCTTAACACATTGGTGATCTCATAATCGTAGATTTTGCCGACCATAACATTATAAGTGCATTAACTGAACAACATCTATAGTAGTTCTCATTAAAATATATACAACAGGCAATTGAAATAGAAATATTAAAACCTTATAGGTCTAGCGTGTATGCCTAGATATATGGATGTAAGGGAGGCGAGGAAAGTATGCCAGGATCGTGCCAAATGGAAGTCCGTAGTCTCTGCCTACCCCACCGGGTGACAGGCGTGAGTGTTTGTCTTATAGGTCTTTATTTATTACCAGACATCATCATCATCATTACTGCCCTTTATATGTCCGCTGCTTTACATAGGCCTCTCCCATGAAATGCTACAAAGCACGGTCCTGAGCCACCAGCATCACATATCTTACCAGATTGTTACTCCATCTAGTGGAAGGTCGCCCTACACTTCGCTTTTCGGAACTAGTTACACAACATCATTAGATAGGAAAATTCGCATGTTACTGTACCAAAATAAAACATTAATAATTTAAAAGATGCGTATCGTAATCAATAAACAAATGAAAATAGAAAGGCAACGCGCCGACATTATACAACCTATTTAGATAATACATCGTCACAGCAAATGCTCGAGCTGTATTTTTTTTCGTTAATTTTTAAAGTTATGTTTGCATTTTTATTAGTTTCTTCAGTCGAAAGACACGCCCGTGTCTCGTTCGCAGGTTGTTAATGCATTATGCTAATCAGTCCATAGAATATTCATTGAAAAACCACCCTTATACTTTATCATATATTGCTTTTACTATTTTTTTGGTCCTTCAACATTGTCATGTAGTTGTCGCCTTGTCATCTATTATATCGACTTTTTTGAACGTCAATGGAAATTTAAAGTGAGAATGATTTTTTGAAACTCCTTTAAATATTTAATGGTTTATGGATAATTTTAAAAGTAAAACGAAAATATTATATCGTACAAGAAGGAGTATTTTAGATACTTGAATTAAAATATTATAATGACTTCATAATGAATTCATAATGATTATATTATATCAAACATATTCTTATATCAAATAACCTGCTGTTATAATATAACTCCTTCAGCAAAAGAAATAAAGATTCATATAATTATACATAAACACTCATCTAACTTTCCAAGCGATTTCCCCTCGACTACATTTCAATAGTGATTCAATTACCCCAGTCAAGCACAAAAAGTCTTGTAAACAGCTCCAAATGAGAGTATAAAGGACGCCCTTCAAAGGGTCACCTTATAAAGTAGATGCCCCAGAAACTTACCCTGCGTTACCCCCATACCCAATAAACTTCTCACTAAAATTGTTTAAAGCAATGACTTTACCCATTTGTATATTGTACATTACTTTCATAAAGAACACGTAGGAAACATGACTTAAAACAAGAGTTTCGATGGATTTGTGAATTTGAAGCGATCGATTGTATCAAACGCTCTGGGTAAGGTGAGCCCAGACGTAGTCGTTATGCCAAGGTGAAGGTCGAGGCTTGGGGGCTTGCTGGGACGTTGCCATGGAGAAATCTCCCTCGTACACTTATTGCTAATCATTACCGTATTCAGTTTTAAAAATTAGAGCACCGTATTTCAACTATAATTGAATCAAATAAGCATTCTAATGGTTTGTTTACGTTCCGACTTGTTATTTATTTCAGAAAATATAAAGCTATTTCATTAAATGTATCGTAAACGTAACAGCGATAGCTCTTTAATATTTATAATATTTTTTGTTCTTAAGTGAGAAAAAGTACATAAGTTTATAGAACATATTATTGAACATTATGGCCTATCAAAATCTACTGCTGTAAATACGCCTCCCCCATAGAGTGTGTTATAAGAACGATAATTGTCATAAATGCCGCACTTGGCAGGCAAGTTGCCAACCGCAGTTTTTTAGTTTCCAGTTGTAATTACAAAGACGCTGATGTCAATTTGTGGTGATATCAAAGTGGTTTATTTTCCTTCGTATCGGTGGATATGTATTTAGAAAATAATATGATGATTATATCAAAATAAAAACAAAGTTTAGCTTGAACGTGGCTCACGCAAAATTTGAGAAGTTATAGGCTGGCGTGGTTTTGCCATATTATGCTGAGC